ATGCCTCACCACAATAGTCAAATATTAGTCTCAGTATATGTTAACCTCTTCATTATCTGAAAAATCATCTGAATTACGTTCACTTTCTCTCGCGAACGCCATTTTTTTACTCTTTTTTCTATGTAAATTCATTAACCATCATAAATATAATTCTACAACACATGTCTGCAGTCCCACAAGTAGCAAAACTCCCAAACAAATAGTGGTAAGCTTCCAATCACAGCAGATTATTATTTTTTTGTTTCGCTTCCGGTCGAATAAAAACGTGAAAAAACAAAACATATTAAAGAATTCTGCTATGCCCGAGTTTACTCGGGATAATAAATATTTGCAATATACACATACCCGAGTTAACTCGGGATAATCAGGGTAGCGGTTAACAGCGTTTTCGTTACATTTCGATGGCACTTTCGTTTCTCTCTTTTAAATACAATTTTGTAACCTTTAATGGCATACTTTCTTTAATTTCATTTATGGTAAGAATTCTAAATATATACATTAACAGCGGTCATTGCGAAACATTTTATTTGAATATAAATAGAATTACTATACAAAAAGCAAAAATATTAAAAAAATTGCAGTAAAAAATTACCCGATACCAAAATAAATTCGAAAAATGTTTAAAGAAGACTTGAAATAATTACATATATAGTTCTATATATTAAAAGCTTCTCCAGTTTTATTTAATGGTACCGTCTAGTACAACGCATCTATCTAATATATTTTTATCACTATCGATGAATAGGAACTTTGGATTTGAAGCAATAAATAATTATCTCATATGTTGAAAATTTCAATGAGGTATACTGAAACAATATATATATACACTTATATATAAGTTTTAAATACAAAGAAAACATAATGTAATGAAGACTGATGAAAAGAGAAGAAGAAAAATTATTAAAATAAAATATTCTTAGAAATACTTTTTTTCCGGCTATATATATATATATATACTTGCCAACTTTCACACTTTTTTCGAGATTGGATTCTTGAAGTGGTAGTAAAACAATTACTACCAAAAAACAATCTTACTCACAAATATATTTATTTTTTGAAGACTATGCTTTTATATATTTGTCGTAATATTAATGTGTAGTGATGATCAAACTCATGTATAATTATTATAATTATTCATCTATTTAAAATTATTATAACTATTCATCTATTTATAATTATTATATTTATTTTATCTATTATTAATCACTATATTTATTTTATCTATTATTAATCATTATATTATATTTATATTAAATATTATTAATCATTATGCTGTATTTATAATTATTATATTTATTTTAACTATTATTAATCATTATACTATATTTATAATT